CACCCTGCTTATTTAACTTATATGCAGAGTACATCATTTGAAATGCTGGGCTGGATGAAGCACAAGCTGGAATCAAGACTGCTGGGAGAAATATCAATAACCTCAGATATGCAAATGACAACACACTTATGGCAGAAAGTGAAGAAGAACTAAAGAGCCTCCTGATGAAAGTGAAAGAAGAGAGTGAAAAAGCTGGCTTAAAACTCAACATTCAAAAAATGAAGATCATGGCATCCGGGCCCATCACTTCATGGTAAATAAGAGGGAATAAAGTGGAAACAGTGACAGACTTTATTCTTGAGGGCTCCAAAATCACTGCAGATGGCGACCGCAGCCATGAAATTAAAAGACGCTTGCTCCTTGGAAGAAAATCTATGATAAATCTAGACAGCTTATTAAAAAACAGTGACATTTCTTTGCCAACAAAGGTCCATCTAGTCAAAGCTATAGTTTTCCTAATAGTCATGTATGGACGTGAGAGTCGGACCACAAAGAAGGCTGAGCACCGAAGAATTTATGCTTTTGAACTGCGGTGTTGAAGATTCTCAAGAGTCCCGTGGACTGCAAGGAGATCAAACTAGCCAATCCCAAATGACTTAAATCCTGAATATTCATTGGAAGGACTGATGCTGAAGCTCCAATACTTTGGCTACCTGATGCAAAGACTGGACTCATTAGAAAAGGCTCTGACGCTGGAAAAGATTGAAGACAGGAGAAGGGGATGACAGAGGCTGAGATGGTTGGATGGTGGCATCACCAACTCAATCAATGGACATGAGTTTGATCAAGCTCTGGAAGATAGTGAAGGACAAGGAAACCTGGCATGCTGCAGTCCATGGGGTTACAAAAAGTTGGACATGACTGAGCGATGACCAACAACAACCATTTGCAGTAGCATTAGAAAACATAAAATACACTGGACACTGAAATAAATTTATCGAAATACATGGCAGACCTCTGTACTAATACTAAAGAATACCACTGGGAGAAATTAAAGAAAATATTTTAAAATTAAGAAATATCCCATGCTGATAGATTGGAATGCTCAATATTTTAAGTTATCAATTCTCTGTAGACATTGATCTTTAACATGTCTTTAACATGCTCCCTGTCAAAATCTCAGGATCAGGATTTTTTTTTAAATGAACAAACTAATTCTAAAATGAACACGGAAATGCAAAGGCAATAGAAAAGCCAAAATAATCTTGAAAAAGACAAAATTGGAAGACTTACATCACACCACATTGCATCAGCAATGTCCAGGTTGTAGGAAATCCTACAGGATAAAGAAGTTTATGTGTGTGTGGTGTGAACACACCCAAGCATATACTACCTCAGGATGTAAAGTAAATTACTAACTGTGAGCCACACCCAAAAAAGCCATTGCCACAGCTTGTAAACCTTGAGTGAGCAAAGGCTGCGTCTTCTTTCATTCACCATTACATTTCCAGAAACAACAGACGACCTGGCACAAGGCAGGTGCTTATTTGTCAAGTAACTGGAAGAATGTTGGGGAAAAGTAGGGAAGAAACCAACACTAAATTTCCCTTACCACACAATTTTGCTTTGGCGTCTACAGAATCCTAAATAAAACCTTGTAATTTTCTCAAGATAAGACAATCTTACTAGGGGAGTCATTTATAAGACTTAAAACTCCTGTGTGTGATAAGTTACTTCAATCATGCCCAACTCTTTGCAACCCTATGGACTGTAGCCCACCAGGCTCCTCTGTCCATGGAACTCTCCAGGCAAGAATTCTGGAGAAGGTTGCCATGCCCTTCTCCAGGGGATCATTCCAACCCAGGGATCGAAGCTGCGTCTCATATCTCCTGCAATGGCAGGCAGGTTCTTTACCACTAGTGCCACCTGGGAAGCCATGTAAACTCGTAAATTCTAACTTTTAAGCCCATAGCTGGGAAGCCAAAAGTGATTACTCAAGAGCCCCCTCTAGTGGTGTCCTTTCACAGCTGAAACCCTCCTCCCCACCACTCCCCTATAGAAGAAGTTGGAAGTGATTTCTTCCATCATTGCCTCCCACTCAGCAGAATTTTGCTTTCCAACTCCTAACCTTAAAACCAGTCTACCTTTCCACTGGTAAAATTACCAGTGTGAAACAGGTGAGGTTAAACCAGGAGACTGCAAAAAAGGACTTTATTCTCTTCTAATATATGAGAGAAATCATTAACCCTGTCATCAGCACACATTCTGTTAGTCCAGAGCTGAAACCTTGCTGTAAGAAAGCCAGTTGTAGGATAAGTGAAGCCACAAAATACTACTACTGCAGCTTTTGGTTTTTGCATGAGATATAATAAGCTTTTTATTAATGAAACATCTCAAGACTGAATCATGATAATATCAGTGTTCCTGGGGTTCTCAAGCCTATCTGATCAATTCTCTCAACACACCTATGAAGATAAGAGCAGAGTTAAGTGGGTATAACAGAGCCCAAACCAAGAGCAGGAATAAAAGGAGATTGCTATAAAACAGACATCTTTTCCATCAAGTCTCTTTAAATTTAATACCTGTTTCCCAAGTCTAAAAAAGAAAAATAATAAAGAATAAGAGCTTGTGAAGACATTCCAAGGCTACTCTTCCAGCCAACAAGCCCCACAAAAATGAAAATTTGACCTATCTTTTATTATTTATTTTGTAAGAATTCTAAACTAAAGAGTAAAGCCACCAAAATGTTCACCTCACTTCCTGTTTCAGAATTCCTTTCTCTTCCCCTGTCTACATTATGAAGATGTGCGCAGCCAAAGATTACCACACATCCAGCCTATGTGAATATACCATGTTATCACATCTTTTCTAATTCTTTCAAACACTCAGATGAATTATGTTTATTGTACCTCCCTTCAATTTGTTAGAATATGGTTGTATTTTCAAAACTAAAATCCAACAACCTCCATATTTGTGCTTTTTTTTTTAAAGTCCTTTTGCAGAAGTGGAAACAGTTGTGCTTTACTAACCATCTTCATTTATGGTTAAGTGGTTAAAGTAACAAGGGAAACAAAGATTCTGATTTTAGCAATGACTGAACATGAAAGTAAAGGTACAGGAAGTAAATGTTCTCCAAAGAGGCAAAAAAATGAGAAATGACTACAGAATGAGATCGACTAGCAATAGCCAAAGGTGCAGACACATAAACCTGATCAAGTACCTGATATAAATTAGACGCTAAGTAAGCATACACTGGTCTCAGAAATACCAATTAGCTGATGAACAAAGAAAAAGAATAGTTTGAGATTCTTTCACATTCTTAACATCTACAAGTTTCAAGAACTTTAAAGAGAAAAACAAATACCATATATTTACACATATATGTGGAATCTAGAAAAATGGTTCAAATGAACCTCTCTGCAAAGCAGAAATAGAGACAGAGACATAGAGAACAAACGTAGGGACACCAGGAGGGGAAAGGGTGGATGGGGTGGACTGGGAGACTGGGCCTGACACATATACACACTACACATAAAACAGAAAACTAAGGAGAACCTGCTGCATAGCAGGGAAAGCCTACTCAACGCTCCGCAGTTACCAAGAGGGGACATATGTGAACAAAGAGCTGACTCACTCTGCTACAGAGCAGAAGCTAACAACATTGTAGAGCAGCTAAACTCCAATGAAAAATTTTTAATAATTTAGAAAGATAAAAGAACTTCAAGAATCTCTATCATTCCCTTTTTTAAAACTGAACAATAGTCATTTATCAGATTTGCTAAATCTATAAATGTAAAACAGGCATTTAGAGGCATTAACAAACAAATTAGAGTAAGAGAGAGGACCAAGAAAAGAAGAGAACAGTTTGACCTTTAAGGCAGTGTAACTACTTATTCAACTCCTATTATTTTTATTATCCTAAAATTCTTACTAAGATAATAAACCTCCACCACAGCTTCCTCACAATGGAAATTCGTCATGGCTACAGGGGAGTCTGAAGCTTGTTGATCAGTCAAGGACTAAAACTGCTGCAGTCCATGGGGTCTCAAAGAATTGGACATGACTGAGCGACTGAACTGAACTGAAAACTGACCTCATTACATCAAATATTTTGAGTATGCCAAATAAACAAGTGATTGACAAGCCATAAGGCCAGATGACAGAAGAACCACCTTCATGACATCAGTGAAGGTGGATAACTAGGGAAAGGTTTAGGACTAGAACAACTGGATTTGGTTGAAGTAAAATCTAAACCAGAAAACAGACAACTTCATCAATAATGAAGTCAAGGAAGAAGCAAGACAACTGATTAGGTAAATCTATTACAGAAAGGCTTACCAGGTGATGCATTCACCTGCCAATGCAGGAGACGCAAGAGATGTGGGTTCCTGGGTCAGGAAGATCTCCTAGAGTAGGAAATGGCAACCCACTCCAGTATTCCTGCCTGGAAGATTCCATGGTTACAGTTCACAGGGCTGCAAAGAATCAAACATGACTGAGCATGCCCACATATTACAGAAACTGACAGTTCAAAAAGTTTCCAAGAAAATGAGTCTTCACGCCCAATGACTGGAAGTGTGAGAAGGATATGTTACCACTTATATGTTTAGAATGTCCACTCATCACTAGATTAAAGATAACTAAATTAGGGGCAAGAGTTTAGATTATGAGTAGAAGTATTAGTGGAAATTAAAAGTAAAACAAGCAACTTATTGTTTTAAGTTATTAAGCGGAGTCAAATAGCACTGAGCAATGAGATTCTGATTTATCAAATAACCTATCTAGAGATGATTTCTGTCACTGAGATCGATTCACTTTATACATTAAATAATGTCTGCACCCTAACATGCTAACTAATCATGCCTTCAACTGCAGTCACAGCCCATGAGAAATAAAAGTAAAAACTAAGAAATCTGCAATCCTCTCCTCTTCCCTATTTTACCTCACCTCATCCTATTCCTGCTGGTGGTGGGTTGAAAGATAGAAATGGAAGTTATCTCTGAGTGAAAGTTAGGAAACTTTTTGTTCAGACCACTTAAAACTTATTTTAACACACTTACCCACATCTCCATAAACATACAGGCCCCTTGGAGGTTTGCTCCTTGAAAAAAGCTGCAAATTAAGAACAAATTATAAATCTCCAATGTGGAAATAAATGAATATCATCATACACATAATGTTCCTAACCAAGCTATATATAGGAGTGAAACAGGCTACTGCACACAGTAAGTACAAAAAACTTGATATAAAAGGCTATGATGCCCCACTTAGATTTTAACATAGAAGGCAAGAATCAGTAGCTCAGAGCAAAGCTCTGAAGTCACACAACTTAAGCTTACACCTCCTTCACCACTTACTAACCATGTAATCATCCCACTCTTTCACATATGGGCTCCCCAAACAATGACAGCCTAGTTTATTCCCAGCAAGCAAGAGATAGGAAGACTTTTTAATGGAGAAACTGAACAGTTTCCAGAAAAAAAAAAAGGCACTTATGTGTTGGTTTCTCCCAAAGAAAGAACGGGTCCCTCTCAGATCACCTTACAGTAAAGCACGCTAGTCAACAAATCTCTTATGATGCAGCCTTCAAGCAGCTCATTAGTATCTGAAATGACACTAAAATGATTTGACAGCTTAGAGTCAATAGAAATTGGAAGGAAAAAAAGAGTTGGAGACCACAGCAAATACACAGAGGAAACAGAGATTATACAGACAGCAAAAGGAAACTTCAAAATAAAACTGTAACCAGTATAATCAATATGTTGAGGAAAGTAAGTTATTAAAACTATAAAGCAAGAACAAAATGCAATTTTTAAAAGGAATATTAAGAACAAAAGAGAGTACTCTGAAATTTAACATACAGTACCAGAAATAAAATTCCAGAAATAAAACAAATGGTAACAATAAAAGATGGAAAATATAAGAAAACTATGGAATTAATTCAGGAGGTCCAAGAGCTAACCAAAAGATTTCCAGAAAGGGAAAAGAGAAAAAAGAGAGAAGGAAATTATCTAAGATTTTTCTCAGATCTGAAGGATGAAATTTCAAAATGGGGAGGACAGAGTAAATGTCCAGCACAACAAGGGAAATAAGACCCATACCAAGTCACAAGAGCTTCCCAGGTGGCGCTAGTGGTAAAGTCCTGCCTGCCAATGCAGGAGACATAAGAGACACCAGTTCAATCCCTGGGTTGGGAAGATCTCCTGGAGGAAAACCCACTCCAGTTTTCTTGCCTGGAGAATCCTATGGACAGAGGAGCCTGGCGGGCTACAGTCCATGAGATCACAAACAGTTGGACACGACTGAAGCAACTTAGCTCATTTTTCGCTCACCAAGTTACAATCCTGAAATTTCTGACACCAGGAATATAAAGAAAATCTCACAAACATCCAAGGTGGCAGTGGAAGAGGGAGGTGGTAGAGACAAGTCATAAAAAACTGACAAAACTTGAATAAAACTGGAGAGACAATGATTTCCAATCTAACCATCAAGTGTGAAAATGGAAGTTGACATTCCATATTTACAGAGTCTTAAAAAATCCTCCCCAACAGAAATATGAACACCTAGGCTCCATGAAACACAGAGGATCCTGGGGAAAACACTCTGATAAGATGGAGAGTTGCTCTAGAACCACAGTGGCACAAGCAGGACAAGAAAGCAATCAAGTACAGACCAAAACAGGAGGATGAAGGCCTCAAAAAAGAAACAAAATGGAACTTCTCTTTGTCTGATGTTATTATCAACCCAAATTACCATTCTAAATTTCGCTCCACTTAGAAGAGTAACCTTCAAACTCTATAACAGTTCCCTAGACACCTATGTAAAAACCAAGGTGAGCCAGATCCAAGAGAGTTCAGAGAGGATAAAAACAGGAAGGGGGCTTCCCAGGTAGCTCAGTAGTAAAGAATCCACCTGCCAAAGCAGAAGATGCAGGTTTGATCCCTGCATCGGGAAGATCCCCTAGAGAAGGAAACGTCAAGCCATTCCAGTATTCTTGCCTGGGAAATCCCCCTGGACAAAGGAGCCTGGTGGGCTACAGTCCATTCGGTGTCAAAGAGTTGGACATGACTTAATGACTAAACAACAAAAGCAGAAGGAAGCAAAGGATATGCCATTTAGCACCAACCACAGCAGTAGATAATTTGACAGAGAACATTTGCAAAAGCTAGATTTCAGGATCTTTTATAATGCTTTTGTTTTTTAATATGTGGATTCACTCGAGTATGCCTCAGAAACCTCTCTTGCTCTCCTGTTCCTTAGCTTTCTCTATAAATCCAGCTCCTGACTTCATCAGCCCTTTCCAGAAGAACCTTCACCACAGTTTAGGCAAAAGAATCTGCTTTGCTTTGATTCTGCCAGCTGGATGCTGTCCCTGTGTTCTTCTGCACATTAACTCTCCATCTATTCTTAAATCTCAACAGAAAGAAGAAGATACTCTTGCCAAAACTTCTTAATTTGTCTTGTTTTAATATCTTACATGAACCATTCTTATACATTGGTTATTCTATTTTCACTTTCCAGAAAATAACCAATATGCTCCTCCATAATTTTAAAACAGCTATATATATCTGAAAGAGACACGTGCACCCCAATGTTCATCGCAGCACTGTTTATAATAGCCAGGACATGGAAGCAACCTAGATGCCCATCAGCAGACGAATGGAT